CAGACTGTCATTAACAAATAACTCTTTCCCAGTCTGTGTTTTACCCTGTTAAGAGTTTTTAGGGTGCATAGTGCTTTGATTCTTAAAAGGCCCCATTCATCTATTTTCTTCCCTCCCAGTTGTGGGGTTTTCATTATGCTTGAAAGACAATTCAAACTGTGGATTAGGGCTTCTAGGGTTCTTCCAAGCCTATATCTGATAAAATTTATAGTGTCTGCTTTTATGCCTATGTCCTTGATCCATCTTGAGGGTTTTTTTGTGTGTGTAAGGTATGAGGTGTGGGCCTTCAGTTTTCTGAAGGTTTTCCAATTTTGCCAACACCGTTTGTTTAAAAGGATGTCGTTTTCCCATTGCACTGATTTCATCTCTTTCTCAAGAATCATGACTGTTAAGTGGATGAGCCAATTTCTGTGTTCTCAATTCTTTTCCAGTGAGGCTTGTCTTAGGAGTCGAGTTTGGCTGTGTATTTCCTTCCCACTCTCTCCAGGATGTCTACCATGGTCAAATCTATCAGAACTGGAGCTGAGTGTGGTGGCCGGCTATGGTCATAGGATCCCTTGTTCTGTGGACTAATCGTTTTGTGTCTCTGGTTCTTTCCCCTTTGCTCAGGATAGGGAGAGACTGCATGTCAGATGACCACTCACAAGCTTGTAAAGTCAGTCCAGTATTCCACAGGCAGCTTCTATTAAGATCTATATACTTAACAGGCCACACAGCCTCACTCTCCTCTCAGTTTGGGGTTCTTTCACGGGATTCTAATGTGCTCGGAACTCCAGGTGACAAAACAGGAGGGTGCAGGGAACTCACGGGCTAGAGAGCCACCAAGCTCTGAAAAGGAGATGTCAGTCGGAACTGAGCCCAAGCTGACTTGAGAGTTCTCTTCTTCCTCTTGTGAAGCAGCTGATGTATTTCAACCAACTGCCTTTGGATTAGCAGCACGGCTCCTTCTTCGCTAGGCCACCAGAGCTCCCTAACTGCTCTATGCTCTTTGGATTTCACAGCTAAACTGCATCTACAACACACAGCCCCCCCCCCCCCATCCACATGAGCGCTTGCTAACAAGCTGACGGCCTAGTGGGTAAGGAAGGAGCGTTGCCAGCCAAGTGAACATCACATACTTTGGGCATGCTGTCAGGAGGGACCAGTCCTCAGAGAGCCGTCATGTTTGAAAAGATGCACATCTCTTAGAGAAATCAGGCTTGGAAAGGACAAAGGTCAGAGATAGAAGACCTTCACAGAGCTGAACTGGCATGGTGAGTTTACCAACGGATGAGAGCCTACGAGGTGGTGACAGTGCAGGATAGGGCCTCACCACTCTTCCCCATCACCATACTGCAGAGGCATCAATTCTTACCAGCCTTATTCACTGTCCACTTTCAGATACACAGGTAACTGAAAACACCTGGTTTGTCATCAGCCTCAGTCGGAATTGACTTTGCTGCTTGACAGCACTCTGGAGAAGCCCTAGACCATTCCCCTACCTAGTACACGTCTTGGATGCACGGGATGCCAGAAGAACAAGTGAGTCTGTCTCGGAGGAAAAACAAGGGTGCTCCTTAGAGGCGAGGATGGTCAAAGGGCATCTGGTGCAGTTTCAGCATGTTGTTGGAGGGGTCAGTTTGAAGGACATGATGCAGGTCAAGGTGAGAGAGAGAAAGCCTCTCCACAGGCTGGATGGACACCGTGACTGTCCTGTGCTGGAGGAGAGCTTGTGAGCAGGTTGTTGGACAGGGCAAGGTCCAGGCCTGCTCTTCACAAGGTCATCATGAGGTGACATCGACTGGACAGCCCCCCTAATAACATGGGGAAAACAGCCAGGGAGCTGTGGTGATGTGCCTGTCAGGAGGTGTACTCTAATCCGAAGACCAGATCTCTCTGGTGGTCTTACTCCCCCCCAGAGGGTTTGCAGGACAAAGGTGAGTGATGGCTTCCTACTCTGGAGCCTGGTGGTGCAGTGGTTCAAACTCACCCACTGCTCCTTAGAAGAAAGCTGTACCAGTTGGCTTCTGTAAGGATTAAATCCACTGCCACTGACCGGCCTCTGACCACAGGGAGCCTGGAGGATGGAGCAGAAATGCCTTACAGCCCAAGACATGAAGTCTTTCTGGGCTCTGACTGCCTCAATCTCCTCCTGCAGGGCAGCTGGTGGGTGTGAACACTGCCCTACAGATTCTGGGAGTCAGGACGCACCTGATGACCATGGGCTTTCAAGGACAGCTGGTAATACAGTGATTGAGTCTAGCTGAGAAAGCTGTAACCATCTACTTCCACAGGGATTAAAAGTTAAAACACCCTCACTATGTCCACTCCTAGAGACCCCTCACCTCATTTCCGTCCTGTCATCCTTATGCAAGGAGACTGACCATCTTTCTCCAGAAGGTGGAGCTAGAGGCCTGACTGCCACCAGGAATTCCCTAGAAGCAGCACTCTGAGGCAGTGCTGTTACCCAGGGGTACTGGGAGGTGGAATGGACTTGAGGACCACGAAGGGAGGGGGGGAGGCAGGAAGCAGTGTTTGTGCCTGAAATGCTCCGGGAGAACCCTCCCATCATGTAAACTATCCTCCCCAAAGGCAAGAGGTGGTGCTCTTACAGCTGTGACAAGCCAGACCTTGGCTGGAAGCTCATGGTTCCTTTATAAAGTACATCACACAGAACCCAACATTTTGGCATCCCCAAAACAGTTACACAATAGTCAGGCTATGACTAAAATAGCCTTTCAGTGTCTCAACCAAAAATCCTATAAAACCCAATTCCCCACCTACTATGGTTGAAAAAAAACCTATCTGCGCACTAGACAAAAAAGGCTTAACTTCTCTTTGCAGTCCAGCTAAACTCTGTGTTCTGTGCCCAATGACGTCCATTCACACATGTACGGGTCATTACACACATATACTCTTCTCTGAGCAGTAAAACTTCACTTCACACATAGAATGTTCAGAGCCACACCGAGCAGGCCTTTCCCTGATCCTGTATTGTCAACACTCTGGGTTAACATCCTCAGCAAGAGGGGGAGAGAAGCAAACTCTATTAACCAAAGGTTGAGGGGAGAAAGCTCTGAAAAAGGAAACGAGACACAGGAGCTCTCACTTCACTCAGGGATTAGAGAGGCCAAAGCAGAGTGCACTCTGACAGGGCCAGAGAGGCGGCAAGCCCCAGGAGGCCAGCTCTCACTAGTGTGGACAGTGACGGCCCAGAGAAAGGTCACACCAAGCCCACTCAGGAGAAGCCCCAGTGAGAAAATGAAGAGGCAGTAAGTGATCATCACACTATAGCTAAGAAATCAAGCTGAGAAATGTGAACTTGGGAACATGGGGCCAGAGTGGGCCTTCTCAATCTCATCCCCTACAACAGTCCACAGGACAGCTGTCAGGATGTGTTCTTAGTGGTCACAAGAGTACTTGGTTGGTCTGTGCGAAACGCAGGCCCTCACCAAGGCCAGTTGCTGGTGGGAGAAGTGAGAAGCTGGACTGCAGAGCATCTGCGTGCTCCCTAGATGCCAGGTAATGCAAAGGCTGTGGACGGTGCTCTCCGGTGAGTCTCTGGAGTCCCGTGTCTCCATTCTGCCTATGTCCACACAGGAGGTGGCCTGGAGTGTGGACTTCAAACAGGCTCTGGGACCTAAAACTGCGGCTGTAAAGAATACAAAAATAAAAAACCTGTGAGCCGCACCCTGGGGTCCCCTCCATCAGGCAGCACGACGGTCCTACGTTCTCGACCCGTGAGCCGCACCCTGGTGACCCTCTGTCAGACCACACCATGGTCCTGAGGTTTTCCACCCGTGAGCTGCAACCTGGTGTCCCCTCCATCAGGCAGCACGACGGTCCTATGTTCTCTACGAAGAGGTGCAAACCCACGTGCGGCAGCCAGGAGCATGAAGCTACACCTTGAAATAGTCAACACCTTTCAAGATGGTGACCTCCAGCCAACTACCAACCCCAAGGCATGTGGCTGGAATCCACCAGCTGTGACCGTGCACCTTACTGCCTCTGAAACCCACCAGAGGGTCAGCCTGGGATCAGTTTCCATTCACAATGGTACTAATTGTGGTTTCTTTAATTATTTCTTCTCTTTAACAATAATGGTGATGCAGTGACCACCACACTGGACAGAGTACATCAGAGATAGTGAGGGCAAGGTCCATACCTCTACTGTGACCTTTCTCAAACAGGTGGCCTGACCTTTCACCCAAGGTTAGTGGATTTGAACAATCTTTTGCTCAGAAGCCGAATATATAACCCCCTCATTTCAAGGCTCCTGGGACACAGTGGGGTTCCTGTGGGAAGTCTGAGCTCAAAGGAGCTGCCGGTCACCAGAAAGATGGAACCAGCCCAGCCACCCAGCACTTTACAGGCTCAGGCCCAGCAGGCTGACCACTACCCAAGGAGAAACTGGAATGGAGTGGCCAAGGTAGGGCTGCGGGGTGAGATGGCTGTGAGGCCATGGTGGACTGGGGCCTCTGAGAGACAGGTGGGTGGAGACGTCACACAGCTGAAACAAGCCCACATCCACAGCCTTCACGGCAGCTCAGAATGTGGGCAAAGCTTATGTCTTACAGCCACCAGGTCCACTGACCCAAGGGGACCACACAGGCTGGACCCTGTGGTAATGGGGCAATGGCACTGGCCTGACACTTCATGGGACATGCGAGTCTCAATCCTGCAGAACCACAGCCGTCCTCCTGTGCAGGAACCACGGCGTTCCTCCGGAGCTCAGAAATGTTGGCTACAGGCTCAGAAACCATGGGACATATACAAGACCCTTGTTTAAGGCAGCAATTGGGAAATCACTCTCAATGGGTACAAAGCCCATGAGCTTCCTAGAGTCTGCAAGACGCACAGCACAACCTCACTCACCAGAGGACAGGAACGTAGCAGCCACCCCAACTCTGGACTGGGGGGCTTCCACCTGAGTGGACACCACCATGCTAGCTGGGGCATGTGCCTGCCCTTCACCGAGGGGCACACACAGCACACAGTCCTCTCTGCTTAAGGGAACTCACCGGGCGGTCAGGACACAAGGCACAGGACTGGTCTGCCAGGGAGCTGCCTGGCTGAGGAAGGATCCTGGGGACTGTGGGTCCAGCCGACGAGACGTGGGCAGCGTCCTCGTGGGAAGTGGCCACTTCAGAAGAGCAGCTGACAGGCAGTGCTGCAGGCAAGGGCCCAAGCAGACGCCCCAGGCCCGGCAGCGGGCGTCTGCGCACATGGCTGAGAACAATCACGTTCTCTAGAGTGGAGCCTGAGGAAGCTGGGAGAAGGAAAACACATCCGTGACCCCACGGCCCTCACTGTGTCACGCACCTTCTCACCTCTTCACGAGGTGATCTGGACGCCAAACAGATGAACGCTGTGTGGCGACATGCAGTGCAGTGATGCCTCACCTGCACATCTGTGATCTGGAAGAATACCTCCCTGGGCAAATGCTGCCGCCTCCATCAGAGACCAGGTCTGCACCGTGCCCAGCTACCAAGCCTCGATGGATTCTGACCAAAACAGGGGGTGCACTAAAGAATGTCCAATTTTCCTATGATCCCACAGCTTTTCCTGAGCCATTGAGGGGGGTGAACCCTGGACATACTGAGCTGGAGATGCCCGAAACCTTTTCCATGAAAGCTAATTCAGCTTAGTTAAGCACTGCTCTTTCAAGAGCTATCCGTACTGAATAAGACTGACTGAGGAATTCCAAAGGCTCTATCAGAAGGGAAGTGGAAGGAACTCACATCACTGGAGGAACAATGGGAAAATGAGACGCTACTGCAGAATGTAATTAACATCACAACGCTGTCTGCAGAAACTGCTAAACTGGAGTATTAACTCTGCTAGATATATTCATTCTTTAAAATAAAAGCGAGGGCCTCAGCATCTTGAGATTTAAGAAGAGCTATTTGGAATAAAGGGCCAAGCACTACTAACTGAAAGATCAGCAGTTCAAATCCACAGTTACTAAGCATGAAAACAGGACCTTCTCCACTGTGGCATCACCATTAAACAGAACCATCACGGCAGCAGTGGGCAGACAGGACCAGAAACGACAGAGGAAACCCAGTGGGTACTGTGGTGGAGTGGCCGGTCTCTGTGACTGGCAATGGGCTGCATTTTACCAGTTTTCATTTGTACCATAATCAGAATCACAAGAAGTCAGCTACAAAGTCTGGTCCATTCTCCATCAGGGAAACGACTGCCTAACTGCTGTTGTGTGCTGGCAACATGACTCACAGACTCTGAACAACAGATCTGCACTCTGTCCTATCCACAGCCATCCTCACAATCTCAGACACACTCAAGGCCAGTGCTGATCACCATGTCACTTCACTTCTCCGAGGGTCTGACCTTCCACCTTTCCAAATGTTATGTCATTTTCCAAGGACTGGACCCTCTTAACAACATGGCCAGAGCGAGCAAGACAGAGTTTCACCATCCCTGCCTCCGAGGAACACTTGGGCCAGAGAGTTCCCAAGACACATTTGGCCTCCCTTCAGTCCCCGGGACGTTCACCACTCTCTTCTCCCTCACCACAGTCCAAGCACACTAACTCTTCTGTCATCCTTACTCATGCTCCAACTTTCAGCTGCACAGCAAATAACTGAAATATGACAGTTTCTGAGATGCACCTTAGTATTTAAACTCGCATCATTGCTTTTCAACAGAATGGAGAGGTCCCTGGCAGCAGGCTCTGCAGCACATCTTTTGATTTGTTGACACTGCTGTCAAGGGTGGTGAGTGTGGAGCAGGATGAAATCATAGATAATTTGTTATCCCTTCTCCATGAACCACGATACTGCCTACTGGTCCACTGGTGAGGGTTCAATGACAATCCACACTGAAGGCTGTGTGGTCTTCGATCTTCTGCAGCAAGTACTTCAAGTCCTCCTGACTTTTTTGTAAGGCTGTTGAGGAGTCCTCCTTCAATCCTGATGCCATGTTCTTCCCAGAGTCCAGCTTCCCAAATCATTATGTAACCAAGAGGTTCTATGGTCTACATGATAATCAGGTTACTGGCCCTCAACGTCCCTCACAACGCCCTGTGCGGTCAGACAGCTGACTCTGCAAGGATCAGTATGACACCCTGCTTTTCAACAGATGGATTGCCAGGGCTTCTTCCCAGGTGCCTGTGGGTGGACTTGAACCTGCAGCCTCCGCTTGAACCACCCCCCAGACCTGTGTGCTCTCTCACCTGTGACCCCAACATCCCAAAGGTCCTCAGCGGTAGGTACGGGGCATGCACTCACATGCCCCCTGGCTGGCTTCATCATCTCCATCACAGACACGCTGACATCTCTGGAAAGGACAGACAGCATCATGCATTTCCCACAATAACAGTGCTAACCCGGCCCCCTCACTGCTGTGCCACCTCACATGTCCATGTGACAAGAGGGGTGCAGCCCTGGCCCCAGGCGGCCACTTGTGTCCTGGGGAGCCAAAGGGTGGGTCTCAATCACTGACTTAGCGCCTTTTCATCAAAAGGCAGGAACGCTGTTGAGGCTTGCTGTCCTCTCTTCGTCTGTCTGCGTGCTCACAGCGGAGGACACATCATGATGGGGTTTCAAATGCCCTAGCTGCTCCAAGGCAGAAAGGTGAGCAGTTTCCCGTGTAGACCAACAGCCTCAGAAACCAGGTAATAGGGTCACTGTGAGTAGGCATCAGCTCCACGGCAGGGGTTTGGTGTGGTGTGCACCTCTGTCTCCACCGTGCGCTTACCTGTGTCTCCACGGTGCTGGGCAGGGAGGAAGGGTGGGGATGGTGTGTACCCATGTGTCTCTGTGACACTGGGTAAGAAGGGAGGGTGAGGATGGTGTGTACCTGTGTGTCTCTGTGACACTGGGCAGGGAGGAGCCAGGTAGGGGTGGCTTCTTACAGAATCTCCAGTTACTCTGAAGTGCGACTGTGATCTAAACAAAACAGACATGGGCCTTGACACCAACTCAGAGGCAGGACTAGCCTTTCCCATGGGAGCTGGGAGGTGAGGTCACTGCCAGCCTCTCAGCCTTAGTCTCCACTTCTGGCCTGTACCAAAGCTGTAAGGCCCTTAAGACTTTTCAAGGGCTGCTGCATCAGAAACGGATCACCAAGCCCTTCTTCCTGGTCTCAATCTGGTGGCCTCACTGAAACCTGTCCCCATAGGTGACACTGCTCTTGTCAGAAGTGTGACACAGCTTGCAGCATCCCAGCAGCACAGGAGTCCCAAGTATCAAAAACTGACCAACAGCGTCACACGGCCACAGGAGCAAAAGGGCTTGTTGATACAGTGGATTACATGCTAGCCTGATAATCAAAGGTCAGAATTTCAAATCCACCAGCTAGTCCACGGCAGAAAACAGACACCATTTGCTCCTGTGAAGATCTCTATCCTGAAGTCTAATGGAGACTGTCCCAGGTGGGAACTGGCTCAAGGCAGTGGGTCACAGGTGATAAAGGGGCTCAGGGTCACGAGTCAGATGAATTAAGAGGGGTCAGGATCACAGGTGGGTAAAGGGGCTCGGGGTCACAAGTGAGTAAGGGAGCTGGGTCACAGGTGAGTGTAAGGGGGGGTTGGGGTCACAGGTAGACCCCATTAGCTCCCTGCTCTGCAGGAAGGACCTGGAGATGTGCCCTTGTGAAGCCCGTCCCCTCAGAGACCAAAGAGCAGGGGCACCCTGTCTCAAAGGTCCCAGCAAGTCAGAACCACCCTATGACAACGTAGAGTGATGACCACTCACACCCCCGCTGAGTGTATACCTGCCCCAGCACGTCTGGGGGCACCCGGTCCCGCACTCGCTGCACTTGCTGCACGGTGGCCTCCAGGATGGATGCCACATCGTTCTTTCTCCCCTTCCTGAATGGCAGGAGTGCACGGAGCTGCTCGCAGCAATCCTTGATCCTCTCCCTGTGCAGAGAACCACATGTGAGGGCATTCGTGTCACACCTCCTCTCGGGGGTCAGGTGGACACAGTGGCCACAGGCCCAGGGTGAAGCCAGCCCAGCAGAAGGCTTCCTGCTCAGCCCAACCTGAGGCAATGGCACAAACAAGGACAAAACTCTTACTTCTGTACCTAAGAAACATGCAGCAGACGGGAATGGACAAAAACATGAAGGGAGCTCTGGTGGCATATTGGTTAGACACTGTGCTGCAGACCCAAGGGCAGAGAGATCAAATCCACCAGCAGCTCCACAGAAGAAAGACATACAAGTTCCCCCTGTGCAACTGACAGCCTCTCAGATGCCACTGGAGGCTCCCCTAGGAGTCGCCTCCAACTCCACGGCAGTGGGTTTGAGGTTTTTAGTTCTTTAGCAAGAACATGTTTAGTTAACTCTTGGTCATCTGTTCTTAAATAGAACAGCTGTTAAAAATATTCCCAAATGCAGATACTCAAGACACCTGGCTTCACCCCTAATTCTTCACACCCCACAATTCTCAACCATCAGTTCACACACTGCTGCCACCCAAGTTCCAAGAGTGGATCCTTATGGGCACAATGGCCTGTCCTTTCCTGGGCAGCAGACCCACACCTGGTCAGTGTCCAGCACCTGGCCAGCAGTCCAGCACATGATTAGTAGATCCATATGCGGTCAGCAGCCCAGCACCTGGTCAGTGTCCAGTACCTGGTCAGCAGTCCAGCACATGATTAGTAGATCCGTATGCGGTCTGCAGCCCAGCACCTGGTCAGTGTCCAGTACCTGGTCAGCAGTCCAGCACATGATTAGTAGATCCGTATGCAGTCAGCAGCCCAGCACCTGGTCAGTGTCCAGTACCTGGTCAGCAGTCCAGCACATGATTAGTAGATCCTTATGCAGTCAGCAGCCCAGCACCTGGTCAGTGTCCAGTACCTGGTCAGCAGTCCAGCACATGATTAGTAGATCCGTATGCGGTCAGCAGCCCAGCACCTGGTCAGTGTCCAGTACCTGGTCAGCAGTCCAGCACGTGATTAGTAGATCCGTATGCGGTCAGCAGCCCAGCACCTGGTCAGTGTCCAGTACCTGGGCAGCAGTCCAGCACGTGATTAGTAGATCCGTATGCGGTCAGCAGCCCAGCACCTGGTCAGTGTCCAGTACCTGGGCAGCAGTCCAGCACATGATTAGTAGATCCGTATGCGGTCAGCAGCCCAGCACCTGGTCAGTGTCCAGTCCTTGGCTAGTAGTCCACAGCCTGGTTAGCCATCTAGCACCTGGTCAGCAGTCCAGACCCTAGTTAGTGGTCCAGGACATTCCCTGGATCACCACCAGGGCTTCCAGTGAAAAAAGAAAAAGGCCATGGTTCAAACTGCTGACCTTCCCATTAGCAGATCAGTGTTTAACCACTGAACCACCAGGGTTCCCTGCCCCGGAACCCCACATGGAAATTTGCTGACACTCTTGCGGTCAGAGGTGATGTTTACTAGAGTGGAACTGTCATAATGAGTCCTCTAGAAGGCTTCCAGGGCCCTAGATGCCAATCCGGAAGCCAAGGTGGTAGAATCCTGGTCCTCCATCCGGTCTTGGCATCCAGCAGGCCACCATAAGATGTGTGTAATGACTACACACACCTGGCCAGCTGACCCGGTAGCATGTGGACGGTCACACACACCCGGCTCCCAACTGGCCCCACACTGTCTAAACAAACAAATGCTAGCACCTACATGTCAGCAGGTTTTCTACTGTTACATGGAATTTGAACCTATTCTAAAAATAATAGGAAATTCATAAAATGGAGCCTCCATATAGAGATAAACTGAAAGCAAGCTTGATCAAAATTCCTGTTTTCTCTCTGGATCTGTTAAAGCTGCAGGCCCATGAAGACCACCACCCTCAGATACTCAGGCCTCAGTGGAAACTGACCTTAGGGTGCTCCGTGCTTGAACCAATACCTGGAATCACAGGCGCTAAACAGTCAAAAGCTTTTAATACACAAAGGGCAGGGAGACTAGAACAAAGAAAACAGAACCACCAGAAGAAAAAGAATGAGAAGAGTAAGAATATAACCATCACTCAACAACTGCTATCGCTGACCTGGAGCCCAATCGGCTGTGGTGACCCTGCCCTGAATACACAATCTTATTTTATACACATAAGAAAATCACCTTCTCAGCCGTTCCTTGTTTGAGTGAAGAGAGCTCCTCTGGCTTTTCTTGGTATCAGACAATGGAGAATTTAGCTCAAGCTCATCCAGAGATTCGGGGCTAGAAAAAGATAAATCTTGTTAATTAAGATGACGCCGGGCACTTGACCCAGGCCCTCCTCATACAGAGCCCTGGTCCACGCTGGCCAGTCTTGTCCCACAGCTGTGGAGGGATTCTGGGCTCAAGGCCGTCCTGCTGGAGGGCACAGCAGCCCTGGGCCCTGGTCTTTATGGGAGGGTCCAGCTTCCTGTCCTCCTGCTGAGGGGCAGGTGGGTTCAAATCATCGAGCTTCACTGCAGCAGCCGAGCACACTAACGAAAGCACGGCCTGGACTCCCAAGGCTGATCCCTGTAGGGGGAACAGCCAGGTGCTTGACTGACTTTGTGCATTTGCTGTGGGAGGTCCTATCTCAAAACAATCAGTGAGCAAAGCCATCCTAGCCTGGGTGCTACTGAACAGGTTCAAACACTGTTAACTGAGCTCTGCCTGCCAGCAGCCCCCAGGACAGGGTCAGGAGCACACACACCTTCTCCCTGCAGAGCAGCTGGGGGTTTGAGCCTGACCTCTAACCTCCAGGTAGCAACCAGGCGCTGTCAAACCCCCCCCCCCAAATACCTCCAGGTTCCCTGACCCCAGTGATGGTGGCCGTCCACGTGCAGGACCACAACTGCCCCCTGGAGGAAATGCCTACAGCAAAGGTAAAGCAGGACACATGACAGGACCCTGGGGACGGAAGCAGTGCTGGAAGGGCAGGTGGTCTAAACCCACCAGGGTTTCCACGGGAGGGAGATACACATGCAGATGTGCCCTGCAGGAAGCCTGTGGGGTGACATGGAGTCGCCAGGAGTGGACAACGACCCACCACACACAGGCACCCTGCTGCACCTCATCAGCAGGTTGGGTTATTCACATTTTAAACTTGGTCAATTCACGGGCAGTCTTGAACTCTCCTATTTTGTGTAATTTCCCCCAGAACCTGTGGATTCCACTCCCCCAATTCTCTGCCTAGGAAGTGAGTTTGAGTCCTACTGCCCCCCACCTAGAGCACACTGTGATTTGTTTATGTGTTTATGCTACAGTGGTGAGGTTTTCAGGAAAGAGACAATTTGAGATGAACAGTGATGAAGCGATAATTTCCAGCTGAGTTTACCCATCTTGGACAGAGAGTGAAGGAAAAGTAACATTTAGGGTAAGTGGGCCCTGTGAGCCCCGGGCTTGTTCTGCCTCTGAATGGGAACATGGTAGGAGGTCCCAGACCCAGAGGGAAGGGACAGGCTGAACAGAGCACAGAGGGTCTGACGATGCTGTCGTTAGGTGGGGTGCGTCCCTAGGAACATCATCTCTGGCACACTCCAGCCCACTGCTGCAGCCACGTGTCAAGTCCACCTGGTGTAGGGTGTCGTCCCTCCACAAGGACGACACGCTCAGTGTATGAGATGGACCTTTGCCACACTTGCCTCCAAGAAGCACTCTGGCTGTACCTTCTCCAAGGCCTACTTCTTGTTCTGGAAATCCATGGGCTAGTGGACTTTATAGACAATTCCTTAAATACTCTTCAAACTCAGAACTGAGCCCACTTCCATGGTTTGACTTTCAGCCCAGTAACAGGCCCTAGGAAGTAACAATCACACGGGCAGGAACAAGATCTTCCATACCACCCACCATGTAAGACCAGAAGGGCAGTAAGTGCTCCTGACAGCAGGACGGACGGAGCCCAGACAGCAGGATGGGACAGGACAGAAAGACAAATGGCAATGCATACACCAGGGAGGGAGGGGGGAAGAGTGCTGAGGTGACGGCAGCCAGTGTCACCAGACAGAACAGGAGAGACCTGCTGAGTGGAATGCTAACAAGCTTTGTAAACGTTCACCTCATCCACAATGCTCTTGTGTACCAGAGTCAGACTGACCCATAGCTGACCTTCTGGCAGGTGTTCAGAGGCAGTTAATCACACAGTGGATTCCCCACCCTTCTCCCATGGAGCAGCTGGTGGCCTAGAGCCCTGAGCCTTCGGGACTGCAGTGCTGCTTCTTGCCACTAGGCCACCACCGCGCGGACAGAGCAGTTTCACTAACAGCAGAGTATGAGATGCTTTCAAAGACCCCTCTGAACCTCACAACCTGGATGTGGTGACACACAGGGATCTTGGCGAGGCTGAAACGTGGGACTGGACAGCTGAAAGCTGCACCCCCATCTGCCTATCCTGTGTGTTTGTCTTCTGGTCCACCCACAGCACCAGTACCATGGCTCGTGCACTTCCAAACGGTCACAGGTGCAGACAGGCGGTGGTTACTGTCCAGGGTCCAGCAGTGACCCTGGCACTCCACCCAGGGCCAGGAGGAAATCCAGTGGCATGGCCCCTGTACACTTACCACCACTCCAAGGGATGTGCTCCAGGCTGAGGGCAGATCTGTGGGTGTGTCAGGGGTGCATCTCAGCGAGGGCAGCCTCCCAGCCAGGTGCAGGCTCTAGCTCCGAGAAGAGGCATCAGGTGCAAACAGCCTGTGGCTGGTGCTAGGTGCCCTCAAGTGCGCTCACGGCCACGGCTGCCTGTGGACGGAGTGTACCAGCCTGAGGGTTGTCTAGACTGAACTCCCCATGGGAGTATACCACAGGTCCTCTTCCTCCAGGGACACCTTGTTAAGTGCCGCTGAGTCGGGTACAGCCCACAGCGACCTTATGAACAGCAGCTCTGCACACTGTCCTGTCTCGTGCCACCCCTTGGCACAACCTCTGACACGCTCAAGCCCGCTGCTGCATGCACTGCGCCAGTCCATCTCACCGAGGGGCTCCTCTCTTCCGCTGGCCCTCCATTTTCCCATGCGTGATGCCCCTCTCCAAGAACGGGTCCTACCTGACAACATGCCCTGTGTATGTGAGAGGAGGCTTCATCGCCCTCACCTCACAGGAGCCTGATTGTACTTCCTCCAGGACAGTTTGTTCTCATGGTACATTCACTATTCTCCAACACTACAACGCAAAAGGCATCAGTCTTTCTTTGATCTTCCTTATTCTTTTCAATATGCTGTCAAGTCACCTGTGACCCACAGAGACCCTGTGTACAGTTACTCTGAACCCTGCCTGTCCTGAGCGAGTCTCACTAATTCTGACACAGCAGCCCTCACTGCCCCAGTCACTGTATCAATCCACCTCACTGGGCTCCTTCCTCTCCTGCACTGTCCCTCCACCCTTCCAATCATGATGTCCTTCTCCAAGGACCAGTCTCTCCTGGTCACATGCTCAAAGTATGGGAGACAGAGCTTCAAAATCCTAGTCTCCAAGGAGAAACTTGGTTTCACCCTCTCCAAGACAGAACTATTTGTTTCTTGCTGGTTCATGGTATGTTCAACACTCTGCTCCAGCACCACAATTCAAAGGCAGCAATTCTTCTGTCTTCCTTAGTCACTGTCCAGCTCTCTGACACATTAACAACTAACTGCAAAGACCATGGCCTGGATTCAATACACCGTAGTCTCTATAGACTGACATCGTTGCTTCTCAGTATTCTAGAGAGGCCCTTACTAGCAGATTTTTGCAATGCAATCGTCTTTTGATTTCATGACTGCTGGTGCCAGGAGTGTTTTCATATTTACTTTTTTAATTGTTATTTTTTACAAATGTTTACAGGAAAGTTGAGTTTTCATTCATTCACTGTTGCACATTTTCCTTCTTCCCCAAGTTCACCTTTTTCTTTTTTAATATTCATTCACAGTTACAAAATTTCCTCCCCCCCCCAGTGCTCTTTGCAACACACCTTATATTTTAGACTTTGTCTTACATATGATGCCTCATCAACGTTCCTTCTCAACAGTTCTCGCCTTCATCTGTCCCAATGCAGTGCTCGCTGTCTATCCCCACTTTCATCTTGCTGGCTGACTTCCCCTGGTCTGTGCCATCTAGAAGCTCTGCTGAAATCTGTCCTCCATGGGTGACCCTGGTGATATCTGAAATCCTGGAGGTACAGCTTCCACTGTCACAGTAACATGCAGACACCACAGTGCAGGAGACTGGTAGACGGGCGGCGGGAAACAAGATTGGTGCAAAGTCAGGGTGTGTGGCAGCCGAACACTTCACCACTGTACCACCAGGCCATATACAGATGCCCCAAGTAACATTCTCGGTAAGATGGGGCAGGATTCCTATCAAGCCCACTTTCCATTTGCAGGAATCCCCACCGGGGGCCCAAGGCTGACAATCTTCACAAGAGGACACCATCCATCTTTCTCCACAGAGCAACTAGGGGATTCGAACAGCTGACCTTCCGTTTATCAGCCTGACACATGCAGTCCTGCCCACCAGAGCTCCTTAGGTGGTGAAGGGAAAGGCAATGGACTACAGGGAGGATCAGCACCCACCCTCAAAGACAGACAAAGAAACAGCAAGGGCAACACAGTGACACGCCTGACTAAACAGATTCCTCCAGAAGGGTTCTAAAGCCGCAAATCTTGAGGAGGAAGCTGCCCGTCTTTCTCCCTTAGAGCTGGTGGATTTGACCCACCACAGAGCACAGCCTTGGAGTTCACAGCACCACAGGTCCCCACAGGCTACAGCAGACTTCCTGTTACCAGGTAACATGGCAGCATCCACAGTCACAGCTCATCTGCAGGCGGCTACGTGGGTTGAGGAAAGACCACAGAGATGGACAGGAAAAGGATCCCACCCCGACCACAGAGAGCTCTGCTGGGTCACATTCCTGCTTCGTATTTGTACATGCTGTAATTATGCCCATGTACACAGCAAAGCCATGGGGACAAAGCCATCGGGGGACAAAGCTATTGGAGGACAAAGGCACTGGGGAAACAGAGCCACTGGAACAAAAAACCATGGGGACACAAAGCCAACATGGGACAAAGCCATCAGGACACAAAGCTATTGGAGGACAAAGGCACTGGGGAAACAGAGCCACTGGAACAAAAAACCATGGGGACACAAAGCCAACATGGGACAAAGCCATCAGGACACAAAGCCAATGGGAGCTGAAACCTTTGGGGCAGAGTCATGCCTGTTTCTTAATCAGAGCCAAGCTAACTCGGGGACAGAGCATGTGTCTTGGGGGACATCAGAGTCACCTGACATAACACAGTCCACAAAGACCACATTCTACACCCTGCTTTGGTGAGAAGCCCTCCCCACTGCTCTTACTGGGCTCTTCACGTCCAACACAAAAAGGGAGGGAGGGGAGAAAAGGTGTTCCGACGCAGTTATTTCAAAGGACTGACAGGCCTCCACGGCTCTGAGGCCACCACCACTGGCCACTCCCAAAGAGACCAGCATCAAGGGTACTGGACAGAGTAGAGGAGAATGTGGAACTAAAGATTAACAAGGCCAGGTTTACTGGTCTGCAGGAGTCTTGAGGCCCCTGACCTTGGGCCCCTCTGCCTTGAGAGTAGAGCCCTCCATCAATCCTTCCAAAGAGGAACAAAATTCACCCCTGCATTTTCAACTAACTGCAGACAGGCCCACAAGCGGGCTGTTAACACCAGGAAGGCACTCAATCCTCTGAATAACCAACCACTGAGGTCAGAAGAGCAGGAGATGCCCAGAGATAAACCCAGAAGGCAGGAAGCAGCAGGACAGAAGGTGACTGGACAGGAGTCACAGTGACAGAGCAGGCAGTCTGGTCAGACCGCGGGCATTCATGTCCCAGAACACCGTATGTCTGAATGGTTGAATGGAAGACCAGGTTACTTTGTAAACTCTCCTTCAAATGAAAAATCAAACATATGAAAATGTATTCTAGACACGTGTACGTTATTCTACACACTGCATGGATATGTAGATCAAACATACAGTCTATTTAAAGGGTGGTTTTCCATGTGTTGAGGAAAAGGTCATGTTTCCAGGACAGGACAAGTGATGTTATGAGGTGCATGAAGAACAGGAATGCTAGGCTTCCAGGTGAACTGGTCCCTGGTGGGGCAGTGAAAGCCCCTGACTGGTAACCCAAAGGTTGAAGGTTTGAACCCACCTGCAGCCTGAGGAAAGGTTTGCTGATCTGCTCCTGTAAAGAGGTCACGGCTGGTGACATGACCACCACCCACAGTGGCCCTACAAACAACAAACCTGACCCCTGCCCTATCCTGGGATAGCCTCATGACCTCTGACACACTAAAGCACATTGTGTCCACGTGCTGTTACCATCTCATGGAGGGCCTTCCCCTACTTCACTGACCCTTCACTTTCCCAAGTATCATGGCCCTCTCCAAGGAGCTGTCTGGGAAGCCGTCGAGGCAGTTCTTGTGCCACGTGTACTTTCCTTGTCAGAACCGAGTCAGTGGCACCAAAAAGCAGACAAGTATTTTGTCTGAAGAGAACATTCTACAGATGAAAACCATGTGAGACCCACCACTCTCATTTCACACTGGTGGATGACCACCTCGATTCTGCTTTCCACACAGAGTGATGGGGAACTCACCAATGACAACACAGCCCGGCCCACAGCGGCCACTAGAAGAGTGTTCTCATGTTAGATACACCCACTCCTCATTCATCCGCATGGCCCAGGCCCATGTGTTAGGTGCAACTTTGGTGACGAAAAAGTAGAGGATGACCAGGCTGTTATGTAACCACTGGCCAGACTCAAGAATCACGGCCAGCCAGTCAAGCTCACACATAACCATGTCCACCCTGGCCAGCATTACCATCACCTCCACAGCAGCCTTGTGAATGCAGACGCGTGTCATTACTGCACATAATAATGACTGACAGCAGATCCTGCACCAAGTACCTGCACACAGAGACGGCTCAGGCCGCGTGTACCTGTGCGTAGGGACGACTCGGGCCATGTGTACCCGTGCACAGGGAGGGCTCAGGCCGCGTGTATCTGCTCACAGGGAGGGCTCAGGCCGCATGTACCCATTCATAAGGACGGCTCAGGCCGCGTGTATCCACTCACAGGGAGGGCTCAGGCCGCATGTACCTGTGCGTAGGGATGGCCCAGGCCGTTTGTACCCATTTATAACGACGGCTCAGGCCGCGTGTATCCACTCACAGGGATGGCCCAGGCCGCGTGTACCCACTCACAGGGAGGGCTCAGGCCGCGTGTACCCACTCACAGGGAGGGCTCAGGCCGCGTGTATCTGCTCACAGGGAGGGCTCAGGCCGCGTGTACCCATTCATAAGGACGGCTCAGGCCGCGTGTATCCACTCACAGGGATGGCCCAGGCCGCGTGTACCCACTCGTAAGGACAGCTTGCTAAGTGGGAAGGGTGCTTTCCTGCAGAATGTGCCCACTGCTGTCAGGCAAGACTGTGATGCCCGGAAAAGGGCCACCCCCCAGTTCCCTCTGGTCCAGCTGGGACTCCGTAACTGATCCGTGCTGTGGACTGTGGTGCTGACACGTCCACAGTAAGATCTGCTGTCATAAACAGTACTAACCTGACATGTGTAGATAAGTGTCCCTGGGGTGTGCCGGCATGTCTCTGTCGGGGTGCTTGAGGTTCCGGGAGCACGAGGGCCTTCTCATCTCGACCTAGAAGGTGAAAGAGCTCATCATCGTCCTCCTGAAACTCTGCTGGTGTGGTGTCCACACTGGACGTTCAGGTAGAAGAAAGTCAACGATATGACCCATGTGCCAAGGCCTGTTGAAATGTGCCCATGCCAGGCCTCCATGACCCGGCTGCCCCTCTGCTTACAGCAGGGCTGCAAAGCTGGGAGTTCAGAGCAGAGAACAGTACCACCCACCTACAAGGGTCCCTCTGGGCACCTTTCGTGAACCAGACACTCCTGTGCTCCCAGCAGACTTCACAAAGCTAGGCTTTGAGGACAGAAACCCAAAATCACATCCCACTTATGAGGGGCGCTGGTGGTGCTATGGCAAAACTTGCGGTGACAAACCAACCCCTCATGCAGACTATCACCTAGGGTGCCAAGGGCCATCCTGCTCTGTCCTGCACGGTCCCTGTGACATGGAGTAGACACAAGAGCCTGTGGTTCTACCACTCAGCCCAGGGCAGCCTCCCCTCCACCTGATGCTTGTCCCTCACACCACGGTCTGCCTTTCCAGTGCAGGACTCCTGGGGGCACACTGGTTAGGAGAGAGGAGACCCTGAGAAGCAGCTCTGAGCATATTTCTATTCTAAAGGGCGGAGGAAGACAGGCATCCACAGCCCTGCAGCTGCACATTTATCCTAAGGCCAGGAGGCCTGCAGCTTCTCAAGTGATCCCTAATCAACCAGGCCAAATTAATGTGTTGTTGTTGTTATTCCCTCACAGAGAAAGTGAGGAGTACCCTCTCAACTACCTAAAACTGTTCCTGCAATTCTCACCACTACCTGTGATAAGATCCTATCTACCCCTTTGTCCACACTTCTATAAAAAGTTCAGGCCAAAGCTATTTGGGAAGCACAGCCAATCTGGACTCTGGATTCGCTGCAGCACCGCCAGCTCTATCAGGTTCTTCCTCACAGCCAGGAGTCGGAGCGTATCTACCTCAGTCTCCGGGGTGTCTGGGTGATTCTCTCAGGTCTCCTGGGTGTCTGTCTGGGTGATTCCCTCAGGTCTCCTGGGTGTCTGTCTGGGTGATTCTCTCTCAGGTCTCTCGGGTGTCTGGGTGATTCTCTAACCCCCCATAAGGTCTCCAGGGTATCTGAGTGATTCTCCCTCAGGTCTCCTCTTCCTGCAACAAGTCCTGCTGTGCTGGCTGGGAAGCAAAACCATTTGTGAAGAGAAATTGGAATGAGTTGCCTGGTGTTTGCCACCAGCCCTCTGAGCACCCATGCGAGGGACCCCCATCAGTGTGGACAATGTGATCCAACTGAGTGTACACCGGGTACACCTTGCCTGTGTGTGGACACCTCAATAGAGTGGAAGTAAGGTTCCCTCAGCAGGTCTTCAAAGCAATAGACACTGAGAGGCACTAACACGAAGGGGAAGGAGAAGGAAGCTGAAACCGCTAGACCTTGCTAGGAAGGGCAGAGAGGAAAGGGCCACCAGCTCTGCACTGAGCAGAAGGGGCCAATCAACTCCCAACACGTCCCTAACACTGCTTACAACAGAGTAAAGACTGAGGAATCAAGGCTGCTCCGGGTGGGCGCCTGGGAGAGCACCCCCAGAACCGCTCACAGCAGACAAACAGCAGGAAGTGAAGGCTGCTTCAGGCATGAGAAGCAGTATCATGTTGAGTGTGAGGGGAGACTGACAGACAGCCAGCAGGAGGTCCTGACACCCTCCTCGAGGGCCAAAGGGCGTCCCCCGAGTCCTGAACCATAGTTCTGCGGTGACCTCATACAGCTATGGACTATACGGAGTTAACTTGATTACAATCGGGAGCGTACACTGACAGATGGTAATGGATGAGGTGACTGTGTGACCTTCGCTTTCACTGCTTCATCCCCGACCCTGCCGGGCGGCCTGCTTATCATGTGTCTGAGGGAGAAAAATGGGGAATGCACCAGGAAAACCCACCCATCTGAAACGATGTTGAAACATTTTAAGAAGAGGATCACAGGGTACTATGGAATAAACCTGCTCCCAAGGAACTTGAGAGATTTGTGTGAACTGGAATGGCCCCTTTTTGGAGTAAAAAAAAACCCCAAAACCAAGCCTCCAGAGCCTCTCTAGAAGTAAAACACACCAAAGAAACCAGGATAGACAAGATAAAGGTAAATAATCCAATAGAAAAATGGGCACAGGATATGAACAGGCACTTCACCGAAGACGACATTCAGATGGCTAACAA